TCTGAAGAATAAATTTTCATTTCCAAAAATGTAAATTTTGGTAAAAATAAGTAAATTTTCTCTGATCGTGGAAAAACTAACTAAAAATTAAATTTTCCTTATTTTCAAATAAGTAAATTTTAGTGAAATTAACGTCTGTTAATTTACTGCTTTTTAACTTAAAAATTAACTTAAAAATAATTTCTATTTATTTTCATAAATAAAATTAACTGGCTTTAAATAAATTTTTATCTGACTTTTAAGATAATTGATGGTTTCTATCTAATGGCGCCACTTTTGCTAATTTCAAAATTCAGTCCACAATTTTAAAAGTCTTGACAATGGAAAATTATCTCAAGAATAAATTTTCCTTATTTCCAAAAAAGTAAATTTTAGTAAAAATAAATAAATTTTCATTGAACGTAAATAATTAAAAATTGTTTCTTATTTTCAAAACTTCGTGTAACTTACTCAGCAGTCAAATTTTTTTTCTGATTTAATTTTACCTACTATTTGTGAATAAGTAAATTTTTGTAAAAATTATTACTTTACAAGCAGGAATATTAATTTAGAAGTACCTACGTTTTACTATTTCTGAATAAGTAATTTTCAGTAAGAATTAGTAAGTTTTTGTAAAAATTGGTAAATTTTTTTTAAAATAAGTAAATTTACTTTGAACGAAAAAAAAACTTAAAAATAAAATTTAGCTGCTCTTTAAAAATATGTAAATTTTTTATAAAATTAAGGAGATTTCTATTGAACGTAGAAATATTAAATTGAGAGTAATTTTACTGTTGATGTAAATTAAAATTTAAGTTTGGGTAAAAATTACTTCTACTAAAATTTACTAATTTTTACTAAACTTGCTAAATTTTAGTAGAAGTAAGTAAATTTTTTTAGAGGGAAAATTAACTGAAATGTAAATTATACTATTTAAAAATATGTAAACTTTGCAATATTAACTGACAAGTAAATTTTACTATTTATGAAGATGTAAATTTGAATTTGAGTAAAAATTAATTTTATTTAAATATAGGAAAATTTATTTTGCAGTAAATTTTACTGTATAAAAATATGTAAAGAGTAAAAATTAGTAAGTTTACTTTGAATATTGCAAAATTAATTTAGCAGTAATTTTACTATTTTCGAATAAGTAAATTTAAGAAGAAATTATTAAATAGTTAAAAATTAGTAAATTCTAGTAGAAGTAAGTAAATTTATTTCGTAGTAAAATTAACTGAAAAGGAAATTTTACTATTTTAAAAGTGTGCAAACTTTGGAATATTAACTGAAAAGTAAATTAAATTTAAATTTGAGTAAAAATTAATAAATTTATTTGAATATATCAAAATAAATTTAATAGTAAATTTTGCAATTTTTAAATAAGTAAATTTTAGTAAAAATTAGTAAATTCTAGAAAAATAAGTAAAATTTTACTTTGAAGTTTGGAAAATTAACTGAACAGTAAATTTTACTGTTTAAAATTATTCCAATTTTTTGTAGAAGTAAGTAAATTTCTATTGAATCTAGAAATATTAATTCGGCTTTTGAATTAGGAAATTTTACTAATAAATTGTAATTTCTACTAATTCTCTTGGTAAAATTTACTAATTTAAATTAATAATTTTCATTAATTTTCTATTATTATTATTAATAATTATTAATAAAATTATTATTTTGATATATTTCGTACAAAAAAAAAGAAATAAAAATTAAAAAATAATTAATAAGAATTAATAATTAAAATGGAAATCATTAAAAATTAAATTACAGCTCTTGAACGCTTTATGCTTTCTAATTTGTCCCAGACCAGGACCCGACAAAAATTCCTACTCGGAAGCATATGAAATTAAAAGAAAAAAAATGTATATAATAAAGAACCCGCGGCAAATTTGTTTCGCGCAGGCAAAAGAAGACCGTATAATGAATAAGTGATAAAAAATTATGAGAAAAGGGTGGATCAAAGAAGAAGAAGAAGAAGAATAAGAAGAGGAGGAAAAAAGAATTTTTATAAATCGCTAACGAAGATTCAGAATTCTCGCGTTTATTGCAATACACATACATATATATATATATAATAGCGGGATAAGATTTACACACGCAGGTGCGTGACACGAATATCGTCTCGTAACGAAGGACATTCAGGAAGAGAATCGCGTTCCCGAAGAGTCGTCGTTAATTATCGACTGTCGGGTCGGGACCCGATTCCTTCCTGTTCTCTTCTAAACCACCAGGCACGACTGCATTCAGTTTCTGTGTGATATGCTGCTTAAAAGACAGAGAAAGAACAATGAACAATGGGAAAAGTGTCCCTCTCGAGGAATCGTGATATGGGGAGGAAAAGAAAGGGTGAATTTTAACGCTTTACCAATAAACGAATGGCTCTCTTATAATAAGTGAAGCAATTATTTTTCCCCCCTCTCTAAACAACAAACTAGTTCACGATTTTATATTTTTCAAAATTCTCTCTCTCTCTCTCTCTCTCTCTCTCTCTCTCTCTCTCGTTTTCTTTTTTTTATAAACAATGATTTTATTTATATTTTTTCTTCTTAATTAATATTACCATTTACTTTTATAATTAATTAAAAAAAAATTAAAAATTAATTTTTACTGACCAAAAGGGTAGGGAAAAGGGATGTAACCAAGATTGATCCAACAGTGGCCCGAGTTTGATAATAGCAAAATATTAAATTGCCTTAATTGTAATTTTTACTCAATTCTAAAAACGAACCTTTATCTTTAACAAAAAGAACAACTTTTATTCAGCGAGATGTGAAAATTTATTTAAAAAATTCTGAATTTTTGTCTTTTTGGTTTAACTCATAAACTATAAAATTACCACGAACAAAATTTTTTATAAATAATTGAAATTCGATAAAATTTTTTAAAAATAATTTAAATTTGCTAAAATCTTTTTAAAATAATTGAAATTTGTTAAAATCTTTTTAAAATAATTGAAATTTGGTAAAGTATTTTAAAAATAATTGAAATTTGATCAATTTTCTTTAAAAATATTAAATAATTGAAAATTTTGAAAAATATTATTAAAAATAAAGGATTTATAGAAGAATTTTAGTTGAAAACACTAAGAAAAAATGGAATTTTGGAAAAATTACAAATGATCGCAGAAATTAAATTATATTCGAAAGTAATAAATTTCTTATCACAAAATTCAATTATGTTCAAAATTTACAAAAAAATCTCGACAAAATCCCAATTATTGTCTTTATAAATAAAAAAATTCTTCTTCAAAATTCAATTATTATAAAATTAATTTTTAAAAATAATTGAAATTCGATACAATTTTTAGAAATAATTGAAACTTGATAAAATTTTTACAAAAATTTTAATTTATAAAATTAATTTTGAAAAATAATTGAAATTCGACAAAATTTTGTGAAAATAATTGAAATTAGATAAAATTACGAAAAAACTTTAATTTATAAAATTAATTTTTATAAATAATTAAAATTCGATAAAATGTTTTAAAAATAATTTATATTTGCTAAAATCTTTTTTAAAAAAATTGAAATTTGGCAAAATATTTTTAAAATAATGGAAATTTGGTAAATTTTCTTTAAAAATAATTGAAATCTGGTAAATTTTCTTTAAAAATAATTGAAAAATATTATAATATTAAAAATAATAGATTTATCGAAGAATTTTGGAAAACTTACAAATGATTGCAGAAATTCAATTATTTTCAAAATTTTTAATAAAATTCTTGGCCAAATTTCGATTATTTTCAAAAATTTTCCTCAATTCAATGATTTCTAAATTCTAATATCTACTATTTTAATAAATTTTTTTAAAAGAATTCAATTATTTAAAAAAAAAATATAATAAAATTCTTTTGCAAACCATTTTCATAAAATAATAAAAATTTCGCAGGAATTCAATTATTTACAAATTTTTTTTAATAAATTTCTTTGCAATCATTCAATATTTTCATAAATAATAAATTATTCAATAAATAATTTACTTTTGTATTCAAATAATTAAATTCTCGTTGAATTTTCTAATAAAAATATATTTCAGTTAAAAATTTAGATAATAATTGAATATTAAAAGCATTAGAGCGTGAATTTTTAGAAATAATTGAATTTTGAAAAGGTCCAAATTAAAATCTTTGAAAATCTGAGTTTTTCATATTTTTAACTAACATTTCTGTATGGAATTAATTTTTTTGAGAAAGTTTAATTGCGGATTTTTTAAAAAATTATTTGAAGTTTTTCTTTTTCTTTTCCTTTTCCATCAGTTTGTTATTATTTATTAAAAATTTTTTTTCACTTGTGAGGGAATTCAATTTTTTTTCTTGTTTGTTATTATTTATTATAAATTGTGAGAGAATTTAATATTTTTCTTGTTTGTTATTATTTATTAAAAATATTTATTAAGTTAGGTATTATTTCATATTTCTCTGTGCGTCCTTCGGTTGTGGGAAGTTTAACGAAAAAAAAAAAAGTTGAATAAGAAATTAAAAAGGAAAAAAAAATCTCAGAAGTACAGAGTAGTGTGCAATAATAATAATTCACATTCATATTGTGTATATTAAAAAAGGGAAAGGGTAAGAAGAAGAGATTAGATAAAATTGTCTGTGAATAGTGTATGAGAGAAGGACAAGGAGAGGGTGAGAGTGAAAGAGAGAGAGAGAGAGCTTTATTCCCAGGGTCGAGATTTATCGGCGAAACGAGCCTTTCAGGGATTTGTTGGCCTTGAATTTTAATTTATCTGGACGCGAAAAAAAGCACACTATCGACACTTTTTTATCTTTAAAAAATTCTATTTGAAAGCTACATACGCACTATTGCAGGATAATAAATACCAAGCGTTCGGCTCCCTATATCCTTGTGTGTTGAAGAAGAAGGAGGGATTGCCGGAATACCGAACACAGTTTTCTCGATTCCTTGTCTTTGGATAATTGATCGCTGCGTTTCATGGTGCAATTACGTTTTTTTCTCTCCCTCTCTCTCTCTTTTTTTTTTAATTATTATTTTTATATCTTATCTTGCTTGTTTCAGGCGATACTTTTCTATACGCCACGATGGCTTTGGAAGGGTTGGGAGGGCGGCAAGATTCACGCTCTTATGATGGACCTCGACATTGGTCTCTGTTCCGAAGTGGAGAAAAAGCAGAAGAAGAAGATGCTGTTGGATTATCTCTGGGAGAATCTTCGCTATCACAATTGGTGGGCGTACAGATATTACCTCTGCGAGCTTCTTGCCCTGCTCAATGTAATCGGTGAGTCCACCTGCATTCTTTCCTGTTTTTCAAATATATTTAAATATAAATATGTACAGGGTGGTCCATAAATCGCGTCTCTTCCAAAAAAAATAGCTCAAATGAACGAAATTTTTTTTCCATGTATATTTCAAAATTTTTTAAGGGCCCTGTTTGGCCCCGTTTTCAGCCAAGTTTGCAAATGAAAAAAGTATCCAAAGTCCTAATTTATCCCTCATCAGAACCCAAAAAAGTTTTTATCTTTTAATTATTTTTCTACACTGTAGAAACTGACAGACCTAAGCCAGGTTTGCCCCTTAGTTAATAAAAAAACCATTTTGAATAGTAAAAAAATTTTTCCCTCTATTCCCAAATGGAAAAGACGTTTCATTTCCCCCCCCGATCAGTGCCAGGACAAAATATTTCCCCACGGTCAGTAAAAAAAATCAGTAAAGAAAATAGGAGAAAAAATAGTAAAAAACACAGTAATAGAAGCAAAAAAGCAGTAATAAAAGCAAAAAGGTAAAGAAAGCAAATAAGAAAAGCAAAAAAAAAGTAAGAAATGAAAAAAATGGGTAACAGAAAAAATTAAGAAAAGCAAAAAATGAAGAAAATAGAAAAAGTAAAAAAAGAAAAATTAAGGAAAGCAAAAAATGAAGAAAATCAAAAAAGTAAAGAAAGAAAAAATTAAGGAAAGCAAAAAAGTAGGAAAAAAAATTAATAACACAAATTTTAGAGAAATTTGAATTATACATTAATATAGACTACAAAAATAAAATATTTGAGACACTTTTATAACTTTTTTGGAAAAACTAATAAATTCGATTCAACTACCAATAATTGCTGAAATAATGATAAACATAATAATTTTTACTTCCTTAATTTATAGGACAAAAAAAATAATCACAAATAAATGGGAGCAATATTTGTTTAAGAAACGATCATAGGTGGTAGTTTAATTATTTTTAAACTCTACAGACAAGATAAATTGATGTCGGTTTCTAATTATAATACACCCTAAATTTTCTTCAATATTAATAGAGGGAATGAGCTTTGATGTAAAAATAAAGTTTAACACCCTAATAAAATGTCAAGAGAGTGTAGTAGACTAACACAAACAACTGAGAAAAGACTTTCATTTTAAACTGTCGAAATTCGTTTTTACGGTGTTTCAAATTTTTTTTTTATATAGAAGAAAAAAGTATACAGTAAGAAAAGCTATCCGTCAGTCATAGGAAAGTATGGGAATCGCATAAGCCTGTCTCACTCCCACTCATGGGATATGACTGACGTGGTAGGTTTTCGTACTGTATATATATAATTTTTTTTTCAAAGTAGAATTTAATGTTAGAAAGTAGAAGAAAGGGGAAAATAACCAGGGAAATTTTGTTTGCCAATATTGAGCCATAAAAAATATCTACTCCTTTCTAATCCTTGCTAATAAATTTAATTCCTGCAACGAATTTTATTATTCATGAAAGAATTTAAATATTTATAAAAATAATTTAATTCTTACGGAGAATTTTAGAAAAAATTTTAAATAATTGATTTTTTTTTGACTAATTTTGTGCAAATTATAATTTAAATAATTGAATTCCAGATAAATTTTTATTATTCATGAAAAGAATTGAATTCTTACGAAGATTTTTACGAAAAATTTTTTGAATTAATTGAATTCTGTTTGGAAATTTTATGAAAATAGTAGATATTGAAAATAATTGAATTGCGACAAATTGTTTTAATTAATTAAATTTTACAAAGAATTCTACTAAAAATTTTTGAAAATAATTAAATGTCTGTGTGGCATTTTATTAAATTTTTTTGAAAATAATTGAATTTTTGTGAAGATTTTTGTTATTTTTGAAAGTAATTAAATTCTTGCGAACGATTTTATTAGAATATTTTTAAATAATTGAATTTTCAAGAAAAAACTTATTACCTTTAAAAATAATTGAATTCTTGTGATGAATATTGTTATTTATGAGAATAAATGAATTTAGCAATGAATTTTATTAAAATGCCTCAAAATAATTGAATTTTCGGTAATAATTTTGATATTTATCTTCATAATTAAATTCTTTTGATGAATTTTATTAAAATCTAAAAGAATAATTGAATTATTTTAAAAAACAATTGGATTAAAATTGTATTTAAAATAATTGATTTCTTTTGAACAATTTAATTAAAATAGTTGAAAATAATTGAATTCCTGTAAAAAATTATAATATTTTTTTGTAAATAATTGAATTCTTTCAAAGAATTTTAAAAAAATCATTTTTTTAAATAATTGATTTTTTCGAGGAATTGAAATTAAATTTCTAAGAATAATTACATTTTTTCAGCAATTCCTGTAAAATTGTATTAAAAATAATAGAAATCCTGCGATGAATTTTATTATTTGTGAAAATAATTGAATAGTTGCAAAGAATTTTATTAAAATTTTTAGAAAAATTGAATTCCTGAGCAGTATTTTTTTTGTTCATAAAAATAATTGAATTATGGCGAAAATTGTATTAAAATCTTTAAAATTAATTGAATTTCTATGAAAAATTTTGTTATTTTTGAAAATAATTGAATTTTTCTATTTAATTAATTTAAAATAGTATTAAAAATAATTGAATTCCTGAAAAGAATATTATTATTTATGAAAATAATTTAATTCTTGCTTAAAATTTTATCAAAAATTTTTTTTTAAATTGAATTTTCATGAAAAATGTTATTATTTGTGAAAGTAATTGAATTATAGTGATGAATTGTATAAAAATTTTGTTAAATAATTGATTTTTTGGAAAATGCTATTTTAAATTAATTGAATTGTTATGGACATTTTATTATTTATGCAAATAATTGAATTTTGAATGAATTTTATCAATTTAAAAAAAAAAAAAAATAATTGAATTCTTTTGGGAAATTTTATGAAAATGGTAGATATTGAAAATAATTGAGTTTCGAATATTTTTTAAAAATAATTGAGTTCCAAAGGTTTTTGAAAATAATTGAACCCTTTTTAAAGAATTTGTTTGTAATTTTTGAGAATAGTTTTTTGATTTCTAGTATTAGCGAATTTAAAGTAGTGGAAATTCTCAAAAAAAAAAAAACAGAAATAGTATCTTTTAGTGGCTTATCATTGACAAACCTGGCTCAAAATTGGCAACATTATTTCCAAGACAAAATGAATCGCAAATTCCCCTTTCTTGTGGCAAATGAACCAGAATAGAATCCCTTCTTCAAATTGAACGTTTATCGTTGACAAACCTGGCTCAATATTGGCAGCCCTGTTTCCAAGAAAAAACGAATCGAAAATCCCCCTTTTTATAGACAAAAAAAAAAGAGAAAAAAATTAGGGAAAAACATAAAAAGAAAGAAATTCCAAACCGAACCAAAAAAAAAAAAAAAAAGAAAAAGAAGAATGAAATGAAGACAGGTGAATGAGTGTATTCAGAATGAAAATTTTGGCAGCGGTACAGCTGGCCAGTGCCCTCGAAAGTGATTTCCCCTTTCGATAAAACCTGTGCCCATAGACCTCCCATCTTCCTAGGTCTATTAACTTTCAATGCAGTCGTCTACAGCGAGTGAATATCCACGCAGGCCAGATGTTCCTGATGAATCGATTCTTCGATGGTGCCTTCCTCACATTTGGCATTGACGTCCTGAGATTTCTCGAGTCCGATCAGGAGGATCGCGTCGATCCAATGATCTACGTCTTCCCAAGGATGACCAAGTGCACATTCTACAAATATGGTGTCAGCGGTGAGGTCGAGAGGCACGACGCCGTCTGCATATTGCCGCTGAATGTCGTCAACGAGAAGATCTACGTCTTCCTCTGGTTCTGGTTCCTCTTCCTCGGCATCCTCAGTTTATTGACTGTTATTTATAGGGTAAGACCATTTTTCATCTTCTTTTTTCCTTTTCACTCTCATTTTCACCTTCACTCTCTTTTTCACTTTCACTCTTATTTTCACCTTCACTCTTATTTTCACCTTCACTCTCATTTTTACTTTCACTCTCATTTTTATTTTCACTCTCACTTTCACTTTCACTCTCATTTTTACTTTCACTCTCATTTTTATTTTCATTTTGATACATTTTTTTACCTAATTTTTAACACATTGCTTTCTTTTTCATTCTCTCTTTACTTTCACTTTCACATTTTTATTTTCACTTTCAGTCTCACTTTTATTTAGACAAATTTTTATTTTTACATTTACTTTTTCAATTTGATACATTTTTTTCCACTTTCACTATTATTTTCACTTTCAGCTTTTAATAAATTTTTTTTTCTCTTTCATTTTGATAGAAGAGGGAAATAAAAATTTATTAAAAGCTGAAAGTGAAAATAATAGTGAAAGTGAAAAAAAATGTATCAAATTGAAAAAGTAAATGTAAAATTAAAATTTGTCAAAATAAAAGTGAGACTTAAGTCTGAAAACCATAAAAGTAATTTCAATTGTAACAAAAAAAATTGTAGTAAAAATAATTCTAAAAAAAATTTTTGTAAGGAAATATTTTTATATTTATGACTCAATTTTAAATTTAAAGAATTACTGTAAAGTAAAAGTTTCATTTTTTTCCCCACGTTTTTGGCAACCGACTAGAGGGAAATTATGGTGACTATTATAGAAGAAGACATTAACTTGTCGTCAGTTTATTAGCAATCGCAAAAGTTGGTTGCGACCCTAGGAATCTAAAGTGTTCCTTAATTACACACTTGGTCAAATTTTATGTCACTAACTTCATTACAGCAAAACGAGGCCATTTTAAAGTCTCTTAAATCTCGCGTGCAAAATATTCACTCGACCTCGAGTCGCAGTGTAACTTTAACAATACTTTTACTATCTCTATTATACTTCATCAAAGAGAAATTAAAAGTTTCTTTAGATTTATTGTTTATTTATATTTTTATTTAACAAATGGTTCCTGATTGTAAAAATTTTAAACTCAGGAATGAATTTTACATACATGAGAAAGTTGAAAATCGTACCAAAATTCACATACTATTCTGGAAATTGTAAAATTTAGTTTAAATTTAATGTTGCTTTATCCAAAGTAATTATTTTACTCTAAATCATTTTTGGAATTTATTTATTTGAAAATAGTAAAATTAACTCGCTGGTAAATTATACTCCTGAGATATAAAAAAAAATTTACTTCTACAAAAAAGTTGAATAAATTTAAACAGTAAAATTTACTTCTCAGTTAATTTTCCAAACTTCAAAGTAAAATTTGACTTATTTTTCCAGAATTTACTAATTTTTACTAAAATTTACTTGTTTAAAAATAACAAAATTTACTACTAAATTTATTTTGCTATATTCAAATAAATTTATTAATTTTTACTCAAATTTAAACTTAATTTACTTTTCAGTTAATATTCCAAAGTTTGCACACTTTTAAAATAGTAAAATTTACTTTTTAGTCCATTTTTCTACGAAATAAATTTACTTACTTCTACTAGAATTTACTAATTTTTACTAAACTAACTAATTTTTAACTATTTAATAATTTCTTCTTAAACTTACTTATTCGGAAATAGTAAAATCACTGCTAAATTAATTTTGCTGTATTCAAAGTAAATTAAATAATTTTTACTCTTTAAATATTTTTGAACAGTAAAATTTACTGCAAAATTAATTTTCCTATATTTAAATAAAATTAATTTTTACTCAAATTCAAATTTACATCTTCATAAATAGTAAAATTTACTTGTCAGTTAATATTGCAAAGTTTACATATTTTTAAATATTATAATTTACCTTTCAGTTAATTTTCCCTCTAAGAAAATTTACTTATTTCTACTAAAATTTAGTAAAAATTAGTAAATTTTAGTAGAAGTAATTTTTACCCAAAGTTAAATTTTAATTTACATCAATAGTAATATTACTCTCGATTTAATATTTCTACGTTCAAAATAAATTTACTTAATTTTACAAAACATTTACATATTTTTAAAGAGTAGCTAAATTTTATTTTTAAGTTTTTTTTTCGTTCAAAGTAAATTTACTTATTTTTAAAAAAATTTACAAATTTTTACAAAAACTTACTAATTTTTACTGAAATATATTTATTTGGAAATAGTAAAATAAAAAATAAATAAATAAATAGTAAAATAACTTCTAAATTAATATTCCTGCTTGTAAAGTAATATTTTTCTACATAAAATTCACTAATTCAAAAATAGGAGGTAAAATTTAATCAGAAAAAAAATTTGACTGCTGAGTAAGTTACATGAAGTTTTGAAAATAAGAAACAATTTTTAATTATTTACGTTGAATGAAAATTTAGTTATTTTTACTAAAATTTACTTTTTTGGAAATTAGGAAAATTTATTAATCAGATAATGTTTTATTTTCAAGACTTTTAAAATTGGCGCCTGAATTTTGAAATTAGCAAAAGTGGCGCCACTGGATAGAAACCAGCAATTATCTTAAAAGTCAGATAAAAATTTATTTAAAGCCAGTTAATTTTATTTATGAAAATAAATAGAAATTATTTTTAAGTTAAAAAGCAGTAAATTAACAGACGTTAATTACACTAAAATTTACTTATTCGAAAATAAGGAAAATTCCATTTTTAGTTACTTTTCCCACTTTCAGAGAAAATTTACTTATTTTTACCAAAATTTACATTTTTGGAAATGAAAATTTATTCTTCAGAAAATTTTTTGTACGTCTAAAGTAAATTTACTTATTTTTACTCAAGTTTACTTATTCGGAATTAGTAAAATTTACTCGTGAGTTAATTCTTTTCTGCGATCAAAGAAATATTATTAGATGAAGACCAAATTTTCCTCATTTCCAAAAAAGTAAATTTTCTCTGAACGTGGGAAAACTATCTAAAAATTAAATTTTCCATATTTTCGATTAAATAAATTTCAGTAAAAGTAATAAAGTTTCTTTGTAAGAAGCAATATTAATATTCAGGAGTAAATTTTACTATTTAAATATTTTTATTACTAAATAAATATTAGTAAAAATTAGTAAATTTACTTTGAATTTTGTAGGAAAATTAGGCACGTATCGTTAAATCAATTCATATTTTTAAGATAAAAGTTTTAAATAAATTAAGAAAATGTATTTGATTTTCATGACTTTTAAATTTGGCGCCAGTATGTTTATTTGCTAATTTTATTTTTTATTTTAATTTATTTAAATAATTGAATAATATTTAAATCAATAAATAAAAATATTTAAATAGTGAAATTTACTCTTAAATCAATATTGCTAGGTTCAAACAAATTTTTATTATTTTTACTCCAGTTTACTTATTCGAAAATAAGGAAAATTTTATTTTTAGTTATTTTTTCCACATTCAGAACAAAATTTACTTATTTTTACAAAAAATTTACTTATTTGGAAATATGGAGAATTTATTCTTTAGAAAATTTTTCTTTGCTCTAAATTAAATTTTAATTTTTTTGATAAATTTTTTTTTTTTAATTTTGTTTCTGTAAAAAATCCTTTTGATAAGTTTTTTTTTTAATTTTGTTTTTGAGAAAAATTTTTTTAATAAGTTTCTTTTAATTTTTTGTAAAAAATCCTTTTGATAAGTTTTTTTTTAATTTTGTTTTTGATAAAAATTTTTTTAATAAGTTTTTTTTAATTTTGGTTTTTGTAAAATATTCTTTTAATAGTTTTTTTTTTTAATTTTGTTTTCGATAAAAATTCTTTTAATAACTTCTTTTTTTAATTTTGTTTTTGTATAAAAACTCCTTTTAATAAAAATTTTTTGATAAAAGAAAATAATCCCAGAAACAAAAAAAAAAGGAGAAGAAAAGTGATGATGAAAAAATGTTTTTTTTCCAGATCATCATAATATTTTCGCCTCGAACGAGGGTACACCTTTTGAGATTAAGGTTTCGTCTTGTACGACGAGATGCAGTGGAGACAATTGTTCGTCGGAGTAAAGTGGGAGATTGGTTTCTCCTCTATATGCTCGGTGAAAATTTGGACACCGTCATATATAGAGACGTGATGCACGAGTTGGCGAACAAACTTGCCTCCAGGCATCATCACAGTATACCAGGAGTCAAGGGCGAGCTTCAAGAAGCCTGATCGTTGTGAGGTTGGTGAACCTTGAATATATATATTTTTTTTAACGACGAAAAAACAAAGTCACCGACCGTAACACCCTTCCCCCAAAAAACAAAAAAAAAAAAAAAAAATTATTCTACCTCACTCCATTCCTAACTTTTAAGTCGACAACAAAAATTCGTATACTCTTTAAATTCAGACAGGCATGCCATAAAAATGGATGAGTGTTCACTTTTTACGCATTTCATCTCGTCCCATCAATTTTTTGAATTGTAGTGGTAGTACTTCTACTTTTTGTAAATTCCAAAATTTATTTTTCTTCTTTTGACATTTATAATTGCCATTTAAGTTGAGGGGAGTTTTTCTTTTTTGTTATTATTGAATTGAGGTTCGATTTTGTTTATGGAAATTAAATTTGACATTCTCAAAAAACTAGTTTTCAATTTTGCAAAAAGTTTTCATTTTTTCAAATTTTAATGCATATTTCTCTCTTTGAAAAAAATTTCTCTCTCAAAAAAAATAAAAAAAGTAAAACAAAATCTTACAAAAAAATTATTTTTTGAGAGAGAGAAAAATTTTTTTCAAAGAGAAATAAAATTTATTAAATTATTATTATTATAATTTTATTTATTTAATAAAATAATAAATAAATTTTATTAATGATTTGCGTTGAGTGGAAATTGTCAAAAATTTAAAATCCTCAAATTTTCTTTCCAGAGAATTTTTTTTTGTTAATCAAGAATGTGTCAAAAAAAATGTATACGTACATTTATATATTTCGTTTCCGGAATAAACCGGAAAAAATTTGTCGCAAAAAAAAATAACAGAGTTCGACTCTTTCTTTTGCCATCTCTCTAGGTGAGTCAGTATTTCAACAAAGTTTAAAAGAGCAAGTAAATGAAATACTTAATCTGCCTGTCACTGATAATAAATTCCGTTAACATAAATAATTCTATGTCCGAGGAGATTTCGAGTATACTATTCGTGAACACGCACGAATGTTTCAACTTGGCAGTGTTGGTATTTCAGCCCACGCACCTAGAGAGAGATTTGGAATAAATTGGTATATATAGCGATATTGAAACGAATCGGATTTTGCATTAACTGTATTTTCTTTTCGAAAAAAAAGAATTTTATACGTCTTTTTTAAATCTAATTAATTTGCCAAAAATAAAAAATTATAGTCGAAAAAGAAATTTTATTATTCATTAATACTATTCTTCTTATTATTATTATTATTACCTACTATTTTTACTATTTTTACTAGTTTACTATTTTTATTATTTTATTATTTTACTAGTTTACGATTTTTACTATTTTTATTACTATTTTTACTATTTTTATTCTTTTACTAGTTTACGACTTTTACTATTTTTATTATTTTACTAGTTTACGACTTTTACTATTTTTATTATTTTACTAGTTTACGACTTTTACTATTTTTATTATTTTACTAGGTTACGATTTTTATTATAGCCTTTATTACCTTCTACTTTTATTTTAAATTTAATAATGTTTTCTTATTATTATAATTTTAACTGAAATCTATTTTTTAAATCAATTTTTATTGATTAAATTATTAATTATTTATTATTAATTTTATTTTTTTTATTAAAATTCTACGAGAATTCAATTATTTAAATACAAAAGTAAATTATTTATTGAATAATTGCATGTTTCTTAAAATTCAATTCTCATAAAGAATTCTTTTGAGGAATTTTGATAAAATTTTTAAGAATAATTATATTTTTTGAGAAATAAAAATAATTAAACTTCTCTTATGACTTTTATAATTCATTAAAATAATTAAATTCCTAAAAAAAAAAAATTTACTATATTTATAAAAATAATTGAATTACTGCAAAAAATTTTGTTTAAATATTTAAAAAGAATTGAATTTTTGTGGAAAATTTGGTTATTTTTGAAAATAATTGAATTCTTTATTTAAGAATTTTGTAAGCATTGTTTTAAATAATTAATTTTTTTTAAATAATTGAATTCCTAAGAAGCAGTTTATTTTTTATGAAAATAATTCAATTCTTTCCAACGATTTTATTAGAATTTTTAAAAATAATTGAATTTCCAAGAAAAAATTTATTACTTTAAAAAAGAAATTTAATTCTTTGTGAAGAATATTTTTATTTATGAAAATAATGGAATTTTGCAAAAAATTTTATTAAAATACCACAAAGTAATTGAATTTTCGGGAATAATTTTGTTATTTATCTTTAATAATTGACTTCTTTCGAAGAATCATTTTTGTAAATAATTGAATTCCCAGGAAGAATTTTATTAAAATATTTGAAAATAATTGAATTCCTCTGAAAAATTATAATATTTTTGTAAATAATTCAATTCCTCCAAAGAATTGGAAAGAAATATTTTTTTAAATAATTGATTTTTTAGATCAATTCCTGTAAAATTGAATTAAAAATAATTGAAATCCTGGAATAAGTTTTATTATTTATGAAAATAATTGAAATATTGCAAAAAATTTCATGAAAATATTTAAAAAGAATTGAATTTCTCTTGGAAATTTTGTTATTTTTGAAAATAATTGAATTCTTCAGAAGAATTTTGATAAACATTGTTTTAAATAATTAATTTTTTCGAAATATAATAAATATTATGAAAATTTTATTTTTAATAATAATTGAATTCTTTTGGAAAACTTTATTTGTGCAAATAATTGAATTTTTCTATTAAGTAATTTAAAATAGTATTAAAAATAATTGAAATTCTGCGATTAGTTTTATTAATTTATGAAAATAATTAAATTCCTAAAAAGAATTTTATTATTTACGGAAATAATTGAATCCCTGTAAATATTTTATTATTTATGAAAATAATTGAATTCTTGTAAAAAATATTATTTATGATAATAATTTTAAAATAATTGAATTTCTGTGAAATTTTTATTATTTATGAAAATAATGAAATGTTTTTGTAGAATTTTATTAAAATTTTGTTTAAATAATTGAATTCTTTTGGGTAATTTTATTAAAGTAGTAAATATTGAAAATCTTTGAAATGAGGAATATTTTTGAAAATAATGGAATTTTGAAGAAGAATTTTTTTATTTATAAAAGATAATAATTGGGATTTTGTCGAGATTTTTTTGTAAAATTTTGAACATAATTGAATTTTTTTATAGTTGTTCAAGATTTAAATTATTTAAAAAGAAATTTTTGTCAGAAATTGAAAAAATTGAAGGTTTGATTAATTAAAATTTTTGAAAAGCGTGACAAGGTAAAATTTTTTGATAAATTTTCGTTTTACAATTAGGCAATTTGTTGGCATTTTTTGCCCGACCCAGAAGCAAAATTCTGCTACACGTTCCTACCACCATCTGTGTTAAAAAGCTCGAGTCCAATGTTATTTGATTCATTGCGGCAAATCTAATTTTATAAGAAAGCGTTGTAATGAAAATTAAATATAGCGAGACGGGAGTAAAAATAGCGGAACGATCGAATATACGTAAACCAAAATGTCAGACATGAGAGTTATCTTGCAATTCTTAGAATTGCATGCACCTCGAGGCAGATCACCTTTTTGTTCCCGTTTGTAGGACGAATGAATCTATGCCTCGCATGAAGAGTTGCAAATTACAAGTGTCTTTCTTTTTTCCTCTCTTTTCTTTTCATTTTTCCTTTTTTTCTCTTTCTTTTTTTTATTTATTCGTACTTGTGCATAATGTGGATATAAAGCTCTTTTATCAGAGACCGATCTCGTACAGTTCCATGGTCATTTATTCTACTTTATTCCAGCTCTTTCAAGACTTTTAGAAATCTCAAACTATATCCAATATGTCATTCGCGATTAGAACTTCCGATATGTTTAATTATTTTCTTCTCCTTTGATAAGAGGATGAGAAGAACATTATTGGAAATTTATTATTTTCTATTCTGTGCATTTGTTTCTTTAAAGGAATATTATTGGTTTTTGCATTGATAAAATATTATCTATTGCAAGCAAATATTTAGATACTTATTTACATATTTATTTATTTATATATAAATAAAAATTGATAAATAAAATAAAAAATTTAACACGAAATTGTCAAAATTGTAAAAAAAATCACATTTCTCAACAACAGATACATTAATATCAAACAATCAGGAATAAAATTTTTAAAAATTAAATAAAATTCATAGCATAATTTTAATTAGGTATTTTTAACATTTTTTTCAAAATTCTCTTTAAAATGTCAATTATTTTTATAAATAATAAAATTCTTCTCCGAAATTCAATTATTTAACAAAAATTTTAATAAAATTCTTGTCAAAATTTCAATTATCTTTATAAATAATAAAATTCTTCTCTGAAATTCAATTATTTTCAAAAGTAATGAAAATTCTTCGCAGAAATTCAATTATCTTCAATTCAATTATTTTCACAAATTATTTTCACAATTATTTTCAAATATTAATAAAAATATTTGTAATAATTCAATTATTTTCAAAACGTTTAAAAAAATTTTACGCAGAAATTCAATTACATATCTGCCAAAATTAATAAATTTATTCACAGGAATTGAATTATTTTCAAAAAATAATTGAAATCTTCGCATGACATCAATTATTTTCGAAAATTCATCAAATTTATCGTAAGAATTCAATTATTTTCAATTATTACTAAAATTCTTCTCAAGAAATTCAATTATTTTAAAAAATTTTGATTAAATTAATAATAAGAATTGAATTGTTTTCAATACAAAATTTTCTTCGCGGAAGTTCAATTATTTTAAGGAATTTTAATAAAATTCTTTGCAAAAATTCAATTATTTTCAAAATTCAATTGAATTTTTTACGGGAAATAAATTTTATTTTCAAATATTAATAAAAATCTTTGCAAGAATTCAATTATTTTCATAATTTTTAATAAAATTCTCAACATAAATTCAATTATTTGCCAAAAATTAATAAAATTATTCACAGGAATTCAATTATTTTCAGAATGTAATAAAATTCTTTTCTGAAATTCAATTATTTGCCAAAATTAATAAAATTATTCACAGGAATTCAATTATTTTCAAAAGTAATAAAATTCTTCTCTAAAATTTAATTATTTGCAAAGAATTTTAATAAAATTCTTGTAAAATTTTCGATTATCTTTATAAATAATAAAATTCATCCTAGAAATTCAATTATTTTCAAAAGTAAGTAATAAAATTCTTCGCAGAAATTAAATTATTTTTAAAATTTTTTTTTAAATTTCTCGCTAAAATTTTTATTATCTTTATTAAATAATAGAATTCATCCTAGTATTTAATTATTTTCCAAAGTTCTGATAAAATTTTTTGTAAAATTCAATTATCTTCAAAAATAAAAAAATTCTTCACAGAAATTCAATTATTTTCAAAAATTTTTTTTTAAATTCTCTTTAAAATTTCAATTATCTTTTTAAATTTCAACATTCTTCTGGAAAATTCAATTACTTACTAATGTTTTATAAATTTCTTCCCAATAATTCAATTATTTGCTTAAAAAATAATTAAAAACTTTTTTTTATAAAGTTTTTTAATATAAATTAATGATTTTATCACTCGGTTATTTTTAATTATTACAAAACATGAAGACAACGATTGCTCCGAGTCGAAGACTCGGAGTGATCGATTTCTTCATGTTTTATAACAATTTTTTATAATTTGTTTAATTTCAAAAAGGTTTGAATTTGAATCTTTTGAAGAATTTTAATTCCTATGGAAAAATAATAATTAAATAATGTAACAGAACATTTTTTTGACTTAAACTTTTTCCTTTAAATTTAAAAGTAAAATATTAATTTCATTCGTATTTTTATTTATTTATTTATAATATTTTTACGGGCAGTATTTTACTAAAAAAATGTCAAAAAAGTCGATTAGTCGCATTTTTTCACAAAAAAGTCGAAAAAAGTCGAAAAATTCACACAATCCGAGCCCTGTTAACAAAATTGAAATTAAATTAAAATTCAAATCTTTGAATAAAAATTACCAGATTTACTAAATAGAATAAGTAAATTAATAATTAAATAAATAAGTAAATAAATAAATAAATGAAGAAATAAAGAAATAAATTATTAATTACTTAATTTAAATATAAATATTAAATATTTTACTAAAAAATACAAAAAAAAACCAATATATTGAATCAAATTTTTTTTCTTGACTGTAAATTAAATTCAAATAAATACCAAATTACACGAAAAAAAAATTCGGTAATTTTTCACGAGGCGTGAAATTCTCACACATGAAAAATGTAATAAAATAAAAATAATCACCAAAAAAAAAAAAGAACAAATGAATGTACAAGGCTCCTGTGTATACACATATGAAAGAGTAAATAATTAGCCCATTTTGCATTACACGCCCTTTATAGATGCTGAGTTGGAAAAGTTGTGTAGAATTTTATCGTCTCTCGTAATTTCTTGTGTGTCGTGTGTGTGTTTGTGTTTGACGATAAAAGTAGAAAAAAAGGGAAAAAAATGAAAAAAAAAAAATTGTTCGCAGACTCTGGGCTTATCTTGGGCGGATCGTCGACGGCATGGCACTCTCAACGGGAGAGCTGGAGACTCGCACTCAAGGACACAAGAATTAGAGGATCCTCCGCGTGTACCGCGAGAGAGTCAACAGCTGTTGGCCTGTTGGAATTCTCGTATAAGAGTTCCTCATCATGATATACCAAAGGAACAAAACCAAAGGAATGCGTACGATCAAAGAGAAACGTTTTTCGCGTTATATACCGATCGGATCGACCCTTTTTCTATTATTATATATATATACACTATATATATAGTTTCGAATTGAAAAAGACGATAATTTTTTTTTTTTTTTTTTTTTTGTATGTGCGACAAATGGTAAAAATTGTTTTTATTTTCTGTAATTATAAAATTGGTGACGGATATTTTTAAAGGAAGTATTAATTGCTTTTATCTATTAAATCACTGCCTGTTTTTTTCTCTTTAAATTAAGACGAATGGAAAGAAATTTTTTTTTTTATTTTTTCATAAGAGAATTTTCTTTTTGCAAAAAATTGATCGATGATAGAATTTTCTGCTTGTGGAATTTTTATTTTGTCAAGAATTTTCTTTTTGTTAAAATTTCCCAAAGACAAAATTTTCTGTTTGCAGATTACTTGAAAAAAAAATTTCTTTTTGATGAATTTTCATTTTGTAAAATTTTCCATTTGACAGAATTTTCTGTTAGCAAACTTTCTGTTTGACAGAATTTTTTTTTGGAAAATGTTGACAAACTTTTTTTCCAGAGTTTTTTATTGATAGAATTTTTTTTTCTAAATTTTAATTTTGTAAACAATAGAATTTTTCCTTTCTCCGAATTTTTATTTGATTGAATTTTCATTTTGTAGAATTTTTAATTACAAGAATTTTCGTTTTGCTAAATTTTTCCAAATATTTATTTGATAAAATTTTCTTTTTGCTAAAATTTCCCAGTGACATAATTTTTATTTTGACAAGAATTTTCCTTTTGTAGAATATTTTTTTGTCAAAAATTTCTTGACAAATAAAAATTCTGCAACAAGAAAATTCTAAGAAATAAAAATTCTGCTGAAAGAAAATTTTGTCAAATAAAAATTTTGTACAAATAAAAATCTGTGAAATGAAAATTAAGTAAAACAAAAATTCTGTGAAATAAATTTTTTTGCAAAAAGAAAATTCTGCAAAAATGGAAAATTTGACGAAATAGAAATTCCACAAGAAGAAAAATTCGTCCAAATAAAAATTGCGCATGAGGAAAATTTGGTTAAATAACAATTTTAAAAATTCAACAAAACGAGAATTCTGTCAAATACAAAATTCTTTCGAATGAATTTTCTTTATGCAGAATTTTCATTTGACAGAATTCTCATTTAATATAATTTTTATTTGGAAAAATTTCTTTCTTGTAGAATTTTTATTTGACATACTTTTCCTGTTGTAGATTTTTTATTTGACAGAATTTTCCTTTTGCAAAATTTTCATTTCGAAGAATTTTTAATTAACAGAATTTTCATTTCACAGATTTTTTATTTGACAGAATTTTTATTTAATAAAATTTTCATTTAGCACAATTTTCATTTGACAGAATTTTTATTTTGCTAAAAATTTTCCAGTGACAGAATTTTCTATTTAAATTTAATTGAATGTTTATTTAAATAAAAATTCGACACTCAGTGGAGAAATTTTGTTTACAAAAGTTTTTTTTTTAAAATATTTTATCTACTGAAAAATATATTTTCTATTGAAAAAATTAGTTTTTTAATTAAAAAAATAGTTTTTCAATAAAAAATATTATTTTTTGTTAAAAAAATTAGTTTTCATATTAAAAAAAATGGTTTTTTAAAGAAAAATATTATTTTTTGTTAAAAAAATTAGTTTTTTTGTATTAAAAAAAATAGTTTTTCAATAAAAAATCTATTTTTTTGTTGAAATAATTATTTTTTCTATTAAAAATAATTTTAAAAAGGTCTTTTTTCTATTAAGTGTCGTATATTTTTAATAATGGCATTAACCTACTTTTACGCAATCGTCGAAAGAATGACTCTCATTATTTATATACCTTTAAAAAAAAATAATAAGAATAATTAAATATTCTCCTCTATGTCATCTCCAAAATGACATGTAAATTGTTCTCCATTTTTTTTTCATGGGAACTTTGAAAGCATATTAAGAATGTTTCTGTCTTTACTTTTGAAAATGATGCAGAAGGAGATGAAAGAAACAATTTTTGAATTAAATTCATAGAAACTTAAAAATTCGGGCGGTTAGATTGCTAAACAAGGTTGACACCTACACGCTTGTCACCAATCTAAATATCAACTAAATTCACTTCTCTGAACTATGAAATTGAAACCTTTCAAAAAATAAATAATAATAATAATAATGAAAATCAAAGTAAAAAAAAAAAATTGTCAAGGCAATTATGGGAATTTTTATATTCATGTAATATTTGTAATTTATAATTTTTAATTTATTTAATTATTAATTTATAATTTTATTTATAATTTTATTTATAATTTTAATTATAATTTTTTAATTTAATATTTAATTTATAATTTATAATTAAATTTAAAATTTATAATTTTTAAATTGTCATTTATTTATAATTTTATTTATAATTTTTCAATTGTCATTTATTTATAATTTAATTTATAATTTTTCAATTGGCATTTATTTATAATTTAATTTATAATTTTTCATTTCACTTAAAAAAAATTTACTGCTAAGGTGAATATTCTCATTAAATACAAAAAAGTAAAAGACAATTTGTCCTTTCTTTAAGATAAAAATAAAAAAAATAAACAGAAAAAATGTGAAAGAAAATAAAAATTTCGCACTACAATAATTTTACCATATAGTCGACAAAGATTGAAAATAAAAAAACTATATAAATAATTTAAAAAGACAAAATGGAATTTTCCGTTTTAGAGCTAACTTTATATATACAATAAATAATAAATAAATAATTAACGATGAGTCTCATTTTTATTTTCGTCTTTTTTTTCAATAATAAATCTTACGTGGACCAAAGATAATGCGCTTTTGAATATTCTCGCAGAAATTTCAATGCGAAATAAAATAAAATAGGTGCCTGTTTTAAATTCGCTGTGCGATTAGTCGAGAGAAAATTATCTCGTTTTCTATATATAAAAAATAATATTTAAAAAAAGTACGATAATAAAATTTTTACTAAATATAGAAAATTATTTCATTTTCTTCAATAATTAGAAACAATTATGATAATTGTAAAAATTTTTTTCATTAGAAAAATATTTGTTAAAAAAAAAGATTTGAGATCCATTTTATTATTAATAATATTATTAATATTAATACTGTTAATAATTATTATAAATTAATTATTAATTGTCATAATTATTAATTTTATTGTTAATATTAATGTTCTTAATAAATATTATTAATAAATGGAAAAATTTGAAGCCTTTAAAAATTTTAAGCATTTGAAATAAATAATTACAATTAAATTAAAATAAAAGATAAATTTTACAATAATTAAGAAACAAGAAATTGAAATAATTACTATTCGTATTTATTTACACTTGAAAATTTTTTTCCGCATTGTCGAAATTTAATATTCCTCGATTAAATTTTTACAAACAATTTAAATACGAAAAAAATTTAATTATTCATAATTTCTATTTTATTTTATTATTTACTTCTCGTTTAACATTTAACTAGAAAGTATAATAATAGTCAATATGGGACTTTTCTTCGAGATATGAAACCCAATTTCCAATATATAATTGATTCAAACCGTATAATCAATTTTTTTCTATATTTAATCAAAATATTGAAAAATATAAATATTTTTATAAACTACAAAAAAATATATATAGAAAAAAGTACAGATATATACAAATATTTTGTTATAATCTAATTAAATTTAATTCCAAATATATTCCAAAATTAAAAGAAAGAAGCGCGGTTCAAAAAAAAATTTGAACAGAAGTCATATGATTGGAAATGGAAAGTAATATTAAGAGTTGATTATAATTAAAAAAAAGAAATGAATTTGCTGCCATTTGTATGAGGATTTTTTTTAAAGGCATGGTGTGTAATTGTTGAAAAAACAAAAATTTGTTAAGTGTGTGCATGTGTGAGTGTAAATCAAGAGCGTGAATTTTAATTGTTAAATTACTATAAAGTTTTTCAGTTGTCAAATGATTTTAAATCGTTTGAATATTAAAATTAAAGATTGTTAGAAAAATCGACTTTATAGTCTCGTTAATATGTTGATAAAATCTCATATAAATCGAGAACTATCGCCTATATCTATAAATATAGATTATATAAACTTTTGTATTGTCCACATTTTTTTGTTTCGCGAAAAAATTACTTTCAGACTAATTTTTTTTCTCTTTTTTTAAAACACTGACTTTTATTTATTTAAAAACTTTAATTTATTTAATACGTATCACTGTGAATATTTTATTTACTTTTATTCCTAAAATTAAGAGTTTATTTTATATTCAAAATAATAGAAAATAAAATTTAAATTCATAAAATAAAAAATTCGTAAAATTGTAATTTATAAAATTAAAAATTCATAAAATTGTTATTTATAATTTTTAAATTAAAAAAAATTCATAATTAAAATTCTGATTATTATAATTTTATGAAAAATTATAATTAAATTTGCACCAAACGTAAAGTTATGAATTGAAAATTTTTCAAGTTATACAAGTTGTGTAAAAAAAAATTGTTGAATTAGTAATAGATAAAAAAATTTTTATTGTTACGTATAAAATATTTGACTTTTAAAATATGTATTCGTAAATTTTAAAATTGCACAAAATAACTGTTTTTAAAGGTATTTTAAAATATACTGAGAGAAAATATTACGGAACCACTATATTTACATTAGTTATTCTTTCCGGTATTTGAATTAAGCATGATTCTGATTATTTTAGGAAAACAAAAATTGTATGCGTCTTGTAAATATAAAAATAAAAATCTATTTAAAAAAACTATGTTATCATTAGTTAAATTTTTCAATATATATTTAATTAATTATTAAAAATAATGGAAAATTCAATTATGTTCAAAATTTACAAAAAAAAATTTCGACAAAATCCCAATTATTATCTTTATAAAAAAAAAATTCTTCAAAAATTCGTCAAAAGAATTGAATTATTTAAAAATTTGTTAATAAAAATTCTTTATAAGAATTAAATTTTAAGAAACATTTAATTATTCAATAAATAATTTACTTTTGTATTTAAATAATTGAATTCTCGTAGAATTTTCCAATAAAAATTTATTTGAAAATGAATTTTATTTTACATTTTAGATAAAGAATATGAAAATAATTTTTAAGAAGTTTCAGTTACAATATTCTTATAATATAAAAATAATTTTAATTAATAATTTTAATAATTTTAATTTTTAAAGTTGATTAATTTCAAAAAAGTTTGATTTTGAATGTTTTTAAGAATTTTAATTCCTACGGAGAAATAATAATAATTAAATATTTAAAATATTTAAAAATGAAATTATTGTTTTCGAATAATTTTACAATTAAAGATATTTG